GCCGCGCTGACCTGGATGACCTGCCGGCGGACGATGCGCGGCCCCGCGAGCAGCAGGCAGCCCCCCAGGAGCGCGCAGGCCAGCCCGGCCAGCCCCAGCCCCACGGACAGCCTGCGCCGGGCCGCGGCCATGGCGGGCCGAGCCGAGCCGAGCCGAGCCGAGCCGAGCCGGCAGCGGGGCCCGCCGCCGCTTTATGGCCCCGCGGCGCGGCCCGGCCCGGCCCGGCCCGGCCCGGCCGAGGGGGCGCGGCCGGGGCGGGGCGTTCGTGATGGGCGGCGCCACGGGAAAGGGCCGGCGGCGCGGCCCCGCGGAAAAACGGGGAAATCGGCGGAATGGAGAGAAAAATAAAATGTATATGTAAGGAAAGTGTCGGTCAGTCGTGCAGTTGTGGAATAGAATGGGTTTGCGTTGGAGGGGACTTCAAAGATCGTCTCGTTCCACCCTCTGCCCACCTCCCACTATCCCGGGTTGCTCCAAGCCCCGTGCAGCCTGGCCTTGGACACTTGGACACTTGGACACTTGGACACTTGGACACTTCCAGAGATCCAGGGGCAGCCGCAGCTGCTCTGGGAAATATGTCCCTGTGCCTCACCATCATCACAGCAAAGATTTTTTTTCCTAATATCTAATCTAAACCTATTTTTTTCAGTTTGAAGCCACTCCTTGTTCTGTCACTACATGCTAGATAAAAACCACATAAATGTGCTTGTATTTATGTGTGTATGTATATATATATATGTCTTGCCTGAGTAAACATCCAGCACACGTTACCCTGCCTCTGTTTTTCCATTTAACCCAGCTCTGCTTTGCCAAGGAACTGGGTCTTTTGTCTACCCAGCTCTGCTTTTCCAAGGAGCTGGGTCTTTTGTCTATCTTGTGAATCTGAACATGGCCCCGAATAAAAGCCTTGCTGAGATGCATCCCCAGAAGCATCTAGAACACAGCAGAAAATAAAGAGTCCAGTTTGTGACAGCCTGTTTTAAATCAACCATGTGCAACATCCCATTGTCCCAGCTGAGCTAACACATCTGGAAACTGGAGTGCTTCCACCTGCCACACACTGTCCTGCACGATGAGAGGAGGCAATCTCATGGCTGCCACCAGCAGGGCCCAGCACAGGACCTGCCTCTTGCCATGGCCCCCACCTCGGTGGAACATTTGTGTCTTTACACTTAATTGGGTCTTTTTTTTAATTTTCTAAACCTTTTACACTGATAGTTGCCTCTGTTTAATTTCCTGATCAATAAACCAACGTCTTTATTCGATCCTGGCTGGTCTCCACTGTAGGA